CGGGGGGAGGGGCAGTTTCCGCTGGGGGTTGGGCGGCACGTGCGGCCTCGCCCACCTGTGCGGTGGTAGCGTGGAGATCTGGGAGCCCCAGAGGGCGCGGGCCTGGAGCGCAGCTGAAGGTGTGAGGCGATGATGAGAGCAATCCGGGGAAAGCGAGACACTTGCTTTTGGGTGGACTCACCCAGGCTGGAAGAAGAATCTAATCTGGAAAGTCGTTTTGTCTTTTTGTTTTTTAAAAAGTGAGTTGTGTGCCTTAGGCAGCTAGGAAATGGCGTGTCAATTTTAAAGAAAGTAGCTGTTTTCCTTAGAGAACGGTGGTGAGCGTCATCAGATGAGATAATATATGTGAAAGGGTAAAGAGCCATCCAAATACAAGATATGATTTTATTTCGAATCCTTCAAGCTGTTTCTTTGTATGAGTGTATAAAACGTACTCTAGGAATGGGACAGTGGACTAGTACCAGGTGTGGGATTCTGGCATGTGCCCAGTAATGCAGAGGGTGTGTACCGATATGGTAGTGGTGCCCAATAAAACTAATCTAGAGAAGTGCCCAATAAAACTAATCTGGTTGGTGGACCGTTGCTTGTCTCCTCTACCACTCATGTTTTTGCAGCCAAAGACTTGTAACCAAAAATGAACCCGAAGAGGAGGGAAGACACCAGTTTGGGGATATATTGGTTAAATTTGGTTGAGAGGGCTGTTGATGTGATTATAGTAATAATTTCTTTAATTTGTCTTGCCCTTGGCATGAAACAGCGTATTGTAAAAAGAGCTCTGAGCTGAGGGACAACCAGGGAAGACCTAGTTGTGGATTTGACCCTTCAGTAGAGGGGTCACCCTGGCCAAATTCTAATACCTGTCTGAGCCATAGTTTGTATCAAATGAGAAGAGACCTTAAAGGTCATTCGTGCACTCATTTAGAGCTTGTATACCTGACACAGGGTTACCCAGCCCTTAGTGACAGGGAGCTTGTCATGTCCCAAAATGGCTGAGCCACCTAGACAGCCTTGACTTGGAAAATTCTTTATGTTGAATCGACATCTGTTTCTCTACAATTTGCACTCATTGGAGCCATACAGAATAAAATGTCTAATGCTGCTTCCACAAATATTTGAGGACTGCTAACACATTTCCTTCTTCCACTTACTCCACAAGGCTTCTTTTCTTCCAACTAAACATGTACGGTTATTTTAAACAGGGAGACAGTGTAGGGTAGTGGAAAGAACGCCACCTTTGAAGCCAGACACATCTGCGTTCAGTTCCCAGTCCCTTCACATACTAACACTCAGTGCTCTGAGCTGCTGTATCTTTCTCTGAAAAAATGTGGATGAAATACTCATCTAGCCAAGTTATTGTGAGGATTAGGGATAAATTGAGTAAAGATGCATGCTATAGTATGAGCTTAAAATATGAGGACTTTTACACCCTAAGTGACATAATTTGCAATGCATTTTAATTGATCTTCTCTCAACAAATTCCTGTTTGTTTATGTGTCTCTTAGTGTCTGCTCTGTAGAGCAGAATAAAACACTTTCTGTGAGGTCTAACTAACAGAATAGAGTAGGATTAGCTTATGCTGGGTACCTCTCTAATTACAGTCTACAATCTACAATGGCTTTTTTGGAACCGTATCACATAGACTGTCAACTAAAACCCTGTCTCTTTAACACGTGCTGCTATTCAACCAAGTTTTTCCCATCTTGAATTTCTTTAGTTTATCTGAATTGGTAATTATGGCTCTTGAAAGTGGCAGTCCCAGTTCTGTCCTGTTGTCTCTATAAATATCCTTGTGTTTATCATATTATGGGTCTCAAACTTGGGTTAGAAAAATATGATTACTGAACTTGTGGTACCAGCCCCACTGATCTCATACGGCTGTGGTACATCAGCGAGCTAATAAATGCCAAGTGCTCTACACTAATTTTTGCACAAATTCGAGGTCTTACTAGGTGGGACTGTCTCAGAATTGGAATGTGACAGGAATGTATGATAAGCTACTGGTTGAGGGAATACTGCTGCATGTGATGTCAGTCAGGTGTGGCATCGGTAGCCAGCAACTTGAAAGGGTGCACTGGAACAAGTCAGAGGCCGACTTTGCATTTATGTATGGCTGCATGTTTTCTCAGGCGCTGCAAGGGTTTCATACCTTGGGCTAGATTCTCCCCCGGTGGAGGGAGCTTCTCTCTGGAAATAAGTCAGGCACTTTTACAAAAGTCATTAACTCTTTGGCTCCTGGAGGCTTATAGCTAGGATTTTCTCGCTGGACTTTTTCAAAGCAAATTCCCAGCTTTAGCTGAGCGCATCTCTTACAGTATCCCCTGCCTTTTTCAGACTCCTAGCTTCTGCACTGGTGGTTCTTCCCAACAGGACTGCTTTTCCCCCTAAGTTCCAGGTTAGAAGTCCTTCCCAACTTCAGTCCCTCCTTTTCGAAGGAAGTTTTTCCTAGTCACTCTCTCCAGGAGGGTTTTTCTTGAGCGTTAGGCTTAGAATTCCTGTTGTCTTCAAGAACTTCCATTGGTCCCCTCTCCCGAGCCTCCTCCCCAGGTCTTTCCTCCTGTCTGCCCACTTGTTCTCCGTGGCTGGGCAAGTTCTCTTACTTTCAGAATCAGATCTTTTGTGAGCACTCAGTCCATTAAACACAAAATTGCCTTCATCTTGGATGCCAGTGCTTCTGGTGTGGTGCGAATGAAAGTGCAGAATTGTTTGTAGGATTCATAGGTTCCATTGACAATAAATATGAAAAAGATATAATGCAAAGGTTGTTACTATTGTCGTCTTAGTTAAAATAGGAAAGCCTTTACTCTGTTGAAAGGACCTTGAAAGGACCGATTTAAATTTTTGCAAAGTAATTCAGTCTTTTAAAGGTGGTAGTTATTTAAAATAGGTAATCCTCCATTTGTAAAGGGACTAATTTAAATTTTGTTAAGTAACCAATTAAGGCCATAAAGGGTTTAAATCCATCTGTGGCTTTTCATTTTCTTTAGGACAAATTCCAAACCCCTTAGGATGAAATACTCTTTCTTGCCTAATTTTTTGCCGGTCAGCGCTCCAGCCCAAAGGACTGGCAGTTTTCCCCAAAGGTTGTGCGGTCCCGCGCCTCTGGTGCTTTGCAAATGCCGTCCCCTCTGGTTGGAATGCTCTTTGTCTCTCTGGTAAATGTCTATTCATCATTCAAGACAACCCTTCTCCCCCTCCCCTTAATTACTTCCTCCTCTGTGCGCCCTCAAGTTCTTGTACTTATTCATGCAGTATTTATTAGGGGCCTGCTTTGTGGCGGGCACTGTGGCGGGCTTGGGGATACAAAAGGTGAATAATACTTGGGCTCGGCCTTTGAGGGCCTTACATGTTAGGGGGAGGGGGCTAACCTGTCACAAAATGTGGCCAAGAAATTAAAGGGAAAATTTAAGCGGCATCGGCTCTTGTCTGGCTTCCCCACCGGTTGGTCAGCCACTTGCTCTGGGGTAGGGGACAATCTCGTTCATATTTGTATACCCACCTCTTAGCGCATTGTAGGTGCTAAATAAGCATTTGTTTCCAGACCCTCTTAACTGGACACCAGTAGAAGTGTTCCCTGGATTGCGCCACATGTTTTGATGACATGTTCTTAGATGGTGGTTTCTCTCATGTGGGGTTGGTGGCCCTCGGCGCCCTGGTGCACTGTTAGGACTGGGTGGGCTCCACCGGACTGGCCTTTGCCATTCGTACTTGCCTGCGCTTTGGGCTGAGGAGCGGCAGGCAGGCACGAGTGAAGAGAGGCCTGTAGCGCCCCCGCTGGAGGGATCCGGCACTGCTTGGGCTGCCTGGCTCGCTTGCAGCCCGCGTGCGCTCCTCCGAATTTCTATTTACAGCCAGAAAATGAACACAGACCTTGTGATTCTCTACCCTTTTCTTTTCAAGGGTGTAATAGGTGCCTTTTAAAGGATTGTGGTTGAAAAAAATCCTTTCCTTCCACTTTTCAGTACCTCTGGGACCCTTGCATTGTGAATTCAATCTTGCATAAAGGGGAGCTTTGGTCTCATAACTGCGATGACCGGTCATTCTGGCGTGGGAAGGATCCTTTGCTGGGAGTGGGTGCCGTGGGAGGGCTGCGTGGCTGGGCTCTAGCATGAGGCCCACCTCGCGCTGCTGCAAAGGAAGAAACGTGCCCAGAGGCGGAGCGAGAGACTCAGACTTTCCGCTAGTTGTGACCTTTTTGCTCGGTAGCAGCTGTCCCATGAATCAGGCGATTGTCCCGGTGGTAGCTTGAGTAGAGCCATTCCCTAGCCACTTGTTTGTGCCCGTGGCGGCTACCCATACTTACGGACCTGGGAGGTGTTGGACACTCGTGGACTGCTGCTTTGAATCGGGCATTCACGTAGTTTCACAGCCCTCACCTCGGGCATGGCACCGGACACGAGCTGATGCCACACCTGAGGTTGAGCGGCCACCTCGGGGGCTGTGGGGCCCATTGGGTGGTCTAAGGGGAGGGTTAGGATTTCAGAGGTCTGTTGTCTTTTCCTGAGGCGTTAACTCGCCAGAATAGGACTTCTGCTGCAGAACCTGGAGCCCAGGGCTTGGGGCTGTGAAGGAGCAGCGGGGTGCTGGCGGGGGTCAACACACTGAAGGTGCCCCCTGGAGGAGCCTCTGAGAGCGACGCTCCATCCCCCCAGCAGGAGCTGGGGCTGCGGGGAGGGGCGGTGGGAGGGCCACT